AGCTCTCTCCTTCCAGGCTGGTATCATACACTCTGCGTTTGCCTCTTTTGTTCCTCTCCTTTGCAGGTATCAACAGCTGCTGCCTGTGTCCAGCTGCTGCCTGCATAGTTAATTTTTTAACAAGAGTCTGAAGACTCTGTTACTAGGATCCCTAATACTGGGATGGCTAAGTATGATTCTATTTGGCTGTGACTGTGTGACTTTGTGTGTTTTTAAGTTAATTCAGTAGTTATCTGATTTTCATACTATTTACTGAATAAGGAGATAACACTTTCAGGGAGGTATAACAAAGCATATACTGACTTCTGGGTATACTGAGATGCTATACTATCTCACTATATACAATTATTGAGATCTATAATCTATATCTATAATTAAATGAGATCTATTTTGCGGATCACACTTTATAATTAAAGAGTCCCTGGCTTGACTCATTCACTCCCTTGCTGCAAAAGGACTGTTCATCACTGATAATTAAATCCATTAAGAGAAAAACCACTTCGTGGAGTAACTCAAGGCCAAATGTATAATTAAAGTATAGTTTATTCTTTATTCACACACTTGTATAGGTATTAAAATCTATTCATAGAAAAACTTGGTATTTTCATTATAACTTTGGCCTTGAGTTAGTCCATGAAGATGCTTTTCATTTAATGCTTTTACTTTGAATGAAGGGATAGTTCCTCTTTAATAACCAGGTTGTCACAATTCTTTTTGTCTCTGATTCTTTTTGTCTCTTAAGGGGTTAAAGTCGGAACAAACAGGTATGGCACAGGGAAATAATCACCCAGGAATTGTTTTCTAATCCATTCTTGGTTTTGGAAAGGATATGGTCAAGGGAATAAATTAATCTTATGGGAGCAAGTATGGATTTACCATAAGGAACACTTGACTAAGCAACGACAACCATTGCTTAGAATACCATTTAAACTTTTACCTAATCAATAAATAATAGCTCAACGCATGACTTGAACTGGAAAGGTCACTGAGTCTATTACAATAAAACATTTTATTATAAAATGTCAATATGAAAAATTAGATCAAAACATAAAATTTAACACATAGTAATGTGAAGCACAGATTATTAAAACTATCCTGATAATTTATATAAAATAATTTGAGGTACCCTAATTTAAATGGGCAATGACAAATAATGCTTCGATAAGTAAACACATCAATCTTTCATTGTTAGTGACTGGTGCATCCTTCTTGACATATTGGTAATTTTGGACACGCAGTTACAAACTTTTACATGCCAAATCAGTCACCTCACTACAGCCTACTTTCAAATATGCAAAGTATAAAGATATGATTAATTTATAATTGTCTGCTCTACTACACAGCATGTATTTGCAAGAATAACCTCGATTACCAACATTCTGATCATCCAACCTATCTGGAACACCATTTTTACTGATTTTTGGACTCTGTCATTCTTACCCTATGATTGATATCCAGACTGCTATGACTGATATCCAGATAGCTATGTTCATTTTATTCCCCTTGTCTGCTCTTATACACCTCTTTTTATCTCTGTCTCCCTACTTGTCAGGGCTAAATTTTCTGTAGCGAATAGTTTAGTGAGGAGTGGAAATTTTGAGCCCAGTTTATACGGTATACATATATATACCGTTTTCCATTCAGGGAGACACACTGAGGCTCCATATCACTGAAAGTGTAGGAGCAAAATAATTCAAGGAGTTTACCTTAGAACTGAAAATATTTTACGTGAATAAAAAGCATGTTTTGACTCATGCATTCATAAAAAACTGTCTCTTTAAAACTGTCCCTTTAAAGGACCACTATAGTGCCATGAAAACAAACTCGTTTTCCTGGCACTATAGTGTTAATAGGTCCCCCCGCCCTCTGGGCCCCACTCCCGCCAGGTCGAAGAGGAAGGAAGGGGTTAAAATCTTACCTTTCTCCAGCGCCGGGCTCCCTCAGCGCTGTGGACTCTCCTCCCTCTTCCGATGCCATCCGCCGAATGCACATGCGTGGCAAGAGCCGCACGCGCATTCAATCAGTCCATAGGAAAGCATTTCTCAATGCTTTCCTATGGACGTTAGTGTCTTCTCACTGTGAGACAGCCACTAGGCGCTGGATTAATCCTAAATTTCTCTGAAACTGCTATGTTTACAGCTGCAGGGTTAACCCTAGATGGACCTGGCACCCAGACCACTTCATTGAGCTGAAGTGGTCTGTGTGCCTATAGTGGTCCTTTAAAGGACCACTATAGTGCCAGGAAAACATAATCGTTTTCCTGGCACTATAGTGCCCTGAGGGTGCCCCCACCCTCAGGGTCCCCCTCCCGCCTGGCTCTGGGGAGAGGAAGGGGTTTAGACTTACCTTTTTTCCAGCGCCGGGCGGGGACTTCTCCTCCTCCTCTCCGCCTCCTCTCCTCCCCTTCGGCTGAATGCGCATGCGCGGCAAGAGCTGCGCGCGCATTCAGCCGGTCTCATAGGAAAGCATTTACAATGCTTTCCTATGGACACTTGCGTTTTCTCACTGTGATTTTCACAGTGAGAATCACGCAAGCGCCTCTAGCGGCTGTCAATGAGACAGCCACTAGTGGATTTGGAGGCTGGATTAACCCTATTATAAACATAGCAGTTTCTCTAGAGGGACCTGGCACCCAGACCACTTCAAATCCTAGCAGGACCTGGCACCCAGATCACTTCATTAAGCTGAAGAGGTCTGGGTGCCTAGAGTGGTCCTTTAAGAGAGTTTACATTGTGTCAATGACTTGGAAATATATATAAATATTTACATCATTTTTAATTTTTTCTTTTTTTTTTGACGCTCTGTCCATTTTATGCCACGGTATTAATCATGGCCACAAGTCTCTCTGTAACCAAACACATGTCCAGTTTCATAATCCAGTTTTCGCAGCCAGCAATCAGAAACAATCTGTGATTAGGGAGTATTTAAATTCAATCTCAGTTTTTATGATTTGGGATGAATGTCTGCTGTCCTTTTTTTTTTTAAATGTGTGTTTCATGATCGCTGAAATGATGCTGTTAATACGAATATTTATTCTGTGTGACTTTCAGCCAATAACTGTGCCAAAACCTTGAGAGTTTGAAAAATTAATGTTTGTCATAGTTTTTCTGCGGAATTAAAAATATAATAAAATGTATATATTTTGTCAGTGTGCTGTATCAGTTGCTTCCTGCTTCTAAACCAATTAGGAATAGTCTAGGACAGGAGTAGGCAACCTTTGGCACTCCAGCTGTTGTGGACTACATCTCCAATAATCCTCTTATAGCTATAATCCTGGTAAAGCATCAAAGGAGATGTAGTCCACAACATCTATAGTGCTGAAGGCTGCCTACTTTTCTTATAGGATGTTTTAGTAAACAAGTAACCTAAGGAGTTACAAAGTAACACAATTCCAATCCCATTAAAAGCAACTGAATTGGGGGGGCGGGGCCTGACTGGCTAGCCGATTGGACGCACATAGCATGAGCTCCTAGGCCGCAAAAGCCACAAACATAATTAAAGGCAGCCAAATGACGGGAACTGAGGAACAAACCCACAAGATACAACAAGGGGACCGCGGAGATCCAAACGGTACCGAACTCAGTACGTTTCGGTCTCGGATAACCCACCCATACACTGCTGTGGCCTACACTCACTTTCGGCGTCGGGGGGACGGCCGTTCTCCGGCGCTGAATGCCGACAACTATAGCGGGCATCGACAACCCCCCCCTTTGGACCGGCGGGGCTTATCCCGGTCCTAAAACACGGAGCACAACCCAAGATGGCGGAGTGCCCAAGCAATCTCACACTAGAGGCCCACCTGGCAACTACACAAGCAAGGCTGGACCTGATCTTTGATAGGTTCTGGGTACGACTGGCAGCGCGACATGCGGGCGCACCAAACCCAGACCAGCACATAGCTGCCACAGCAAAAACCCAGACCAACCTGCAGGGACCCGCAAACCGCCCCAAGCCTCCTAACGCCCAAACAAACCAATGACTCTACCGCAAGAAGCCGCAACCGCGGACATTACACAGACCTGTCACCCGGCAAAGGAAAGCAAACGCCAGCTGGAAGCACAGGGCGGCGAGAAATGCCGAAGGGCGCCATACTCTGGGAACTCTGGCATCCGCAGCCCCTCTAGATGGCGGACCAAAATGGCGGAGCACCACGAGGCACACAGACGAGTTACAGCCTCATACCCTACTGAAAGCTGTGCAGGACTTGTGCCTTTACTGCTACAGGGGCAATGCCCACTATATGAAAGGAATTGGCTGAATGTCAAGCTTTGTTTTGTTGCCTCAAGGGCCACCGTGCCCCACCTCCCCGTGGACAGTTACCAGCAATGTTTTCCCCGTTTTCCTGCTCTGTCCCTCGGATGATGCTGAAGTCCAGTGGCAACACCTGCATTTTTGCTAACGTTAATTTTGCATAAGGCAGCACGAGACTATCATTATTGCACCTCCTGCACCTGCTCCCCACACCACTCGAGCGACTTAACCATTCGCCCTAGGTAGACTGTAGATTCTCAAGATTGTAGTGGAGGGTTACGGGATGTAGTCCATTAGTTAAGAGGCTGATGGGAAGTTAAAAAAAGAATTTTAAAGGAGCACTATAGGGTCAGGAACACAAACATGTATTGCTGACCCTATAGGGTTAAAACCACCATCTAGCCCCCCTGGTCCCTTCATGCCTCCCTAAATATAGTAAAATCTTACCTGTATTCAAGTCTGCAGCTGCTTACATGTCCCTGTTCCTTTAGAACTGCCCACTGCCTGCTGACATCAGCAGAAGTGGTAGCCTGATCCAATCACAATGATTCCCCATAGGATTGGCTGAGACTGACAAAGAGGCAGATCAGGGGCAAAGCCAGCACAATTCAAACACAGCCCTGGCCAATCAGCATCTCCTTATAGAGATGAAAATAATGAAAATAATTAAAAATAAGGAAAGTCCCATATAAATATAAAATAAGTCCCAAAGTGGTCCTCAGGATCCACCTTACGCGTTTCGGCACAGCACCTCTGATGAAGGCTTTATGCCGAAAGGCGTAAGGTGATTCCTGAGGACAACTTTGGGACTTATTTTATATTTATATGGGACTTTCCTTATTTTTTATTATTTTTGTAGTTGCATAGTGTTTATTAAAGTTATTGTACAATCTTTTATTTGTTTTCCTGGTTTGTGCAACTTTGGGAAGATACCCACCACAATTTGTGTTCCAGTCCTTAGGAAGATTTCTGTTCAAGGCGATCAGCTTGAGCCAGCTCCTAATTGGCTCTTCGTATGTGAGTGCAATATATCCACTACGTCACTTTAATTTATTTGACGTTATTACCCTATGTTGTATTTTTCTGTTTCTTTTTCAGAAATTTATTAACCAATGGGTATAATTTTTTTGTAATCTTATTTGAGTGCTCTCACCATTTCTTATGTTCTCACTTATGTCTATTGTAGTGGTTATTGTGGCCCACTAAGGTGATTGTAGCACCAGTGTTTATTCATTTATTTTTTCACTGTGTGTTTTTATTGTTGGCATATGTATGATGCCTGTATGGAAACCCTTGGAAAAACCAGAAACCAAGAAATCAACCAAATGCCTGGATGGGTGAGAGGACAACATGGCTGACAAGGCAGACACATTAATAGATGTCAATAGAGTTTGGGAAACAATTTATTGGGGCACATAGTGAGCGCATGAGCCCGGAAGCATTTTGAACAAACATGCAGAAGCCTGCAGGCACTAAAACTGCAGGTACCAGCATTAAAGTTATTACAGACCTGGGACTTCCCCAGGAAGAGTATGGGGCGACCCAGTTTGTCCTTGATGACCTTGTCAGGCTGCGGGGAAGGGGAGGGAACAACAAGGCCGGAGGAAGCCTCGGCTGTATTGGGACAGAAGTTCGTGGAGTGAGACGTGGAGGAGCAGACGGCACAAGCTGGTGTCCTCAAACCCGCAAAGTGTCTGCAGAACAATTCCGTATCCAGCTTACCCCAGTTTAACCGGGCACCAAACTGGGTGAAAGCTGCAGATACTTTGGCGGAGAAAGACCGGTGGTAGTCATAAAAAGACGTACCTCTGTACTTGTGGCCCAAGTCCACCAGCTTATGCATGTAAAGGTCCAACTCCTGCCTCCTAGCTGGAAAGACCGAGCACAGGACGTCCCTGAAAAGGCCAAACGCCAGGACAAACTCCAGGAGAGCTTCCTGTTAAGTCTGGGGTCCCGGGCTTTGATCACAACTGACACATCCCCATAGGCATAAATCTTGTTCTCAACGATATCTTGAGAGGCAATAAGGAGCGAAACCAGGTTCACGTCCTTGCTGTCCAAGATATCCTTCCGAATATTGGCCGGGACCATGTGAGCAGGGTCGACATCCAGAGAGGTATCAATGGTACACGACAAATTACCCTGGCAAGCCGAGGGAGGGTCAGCTGGAACTGGAGTGGGAAGGCTGGTCAACGACTCGGCCCGAGAGGCAGTCTCCAGTCTTTCCAACCTCTGGTTGATTTGCCCCATGGATGCCACAAGAGAGGACAACATGGAGTGCACATCAGAAGTGTCAGCGCCACTAGGACCTTCTCCAGTGCCTTCTCCAGCGACCGCATGGGCCGAGGAGGAATGCAGCAGCTGGAACAGTTTGGCCTTCCTAGCTGATGCGGGGAACGGGATCTGACGCCTCCGAAGTTCAGCTGCGAGGTGAGGAACAGACCATGATCTGAGGGAGGCAGACGTGGCTGAATTTCCCCTGCAAGAAGGGGTACCAGACCTAGCCGGAGTGCCGGGCAGGAACACATCTTCGCCACCTTCTGAAACTTGATCCATTCTAAAAAAAAAAAAGAAGCGATAAAAATCAGAGCAAGAAAAGGACCAGCGAAAATGTAGGACCAGTGTGAGCTGGCTAACTAGCTAGTGCCGCAAATAAACTAGGTTGGTGACAGGTGAGGCCCTACTAGATGCCAAGCGGCTTGAGAGGCTCTATCTATGCGTTGACGCAAAGGGGTGTCATGGCCACCGAAACATTGTGGTGGGGTGGCGGCCTCTCAGTGACCAGTAAAGCATAAGATAGAATGGGAGTGACAGGTTAGGCCCTCTCTGTGCCACGTGCGAGGCGACAAATTATGATTTGGCCCGAGGGGCATAGTACCTCCGAGTATGAGGATGGGTGTTGGCCTTGCGGGACCACTAACCTAAGGCGAAGAACCAAGGGGGGGATTACCACTATTGGGCGCCTAAAGACCCTGACAGCCAGCCACATCTAGACTAGGTGGGATAGCGATATGCAAGACAGGACTACCTGAGGAAACGTGTAACAAACAACATAGGGGAGGTGTGAGGCAGTAACGTGAGGCAGAAAATGTAGGGGCAGACCGAATCTGGAGTGCGGAGTAAGCACGTCAGACCAGGTGGTCAGACCGTACAGAGGGGGCCTGGAAATAGGTAACAGAGCGTATATTGGTGTATGGCCGCCCGGGGCCTGCATGGGTCAGAGCGTGGACCCAGAGACAGAGAGAGAAAAATAAAATAAATAAACAAGCACAGAAAACGTACCTTCCAGGAGGTAGAGTAGCACAAAGGCAAGGAGGGCAAAAATGCAGCCCAGTGAGAGAGCGCACAAAACACCTGAAAAAGAAAACAGATTAGACAAAGGCCACGGGGTTAACAAGGAAAAACTGAACCTGGACAGGAAGACTCCAAGGTCAGAAATCAGAAAAACCACATGCAAGGATGGCTGAATACCGAAAAATAAAAATAAATTAAAAAAATAGCGTAACCAAAAGTAAAAAATAAATAAATAAATAAATTTGTAATTATTATTATATAAAGTGACCCTTTAAGAGACAAGCCGATAAAAACATAATTTGAATGTCATGTAGATATTTATTTAATATTATCATGGTATTTATTTTTTTTATTTTATATATAGAATTTGTAAAGGATGCAACAAGAAAAACCACCAGCAGGGGTCGGATAGAAAAAAAAAAAACATACATACCCAACCACGAGGAGCACAGCGTCCGAAAAGAAAATCCGAAAGCACAGCGAAAAAGAAAAAAATAGAGAAGCGTTTGCGGGAAAAGGAGCACAAAACCCACAGCAAGGGCAAGACCCATTCGGGAGAAACCACCCGAAACATTAGAACAGAGCAGGGGATGGACCGACGCCGCAAGGACGCTGATGGAGTGCGACCATGGCGCGCCGGCAGGGTAAGTAACTTACGGCACCGTGGAGTTGAAAAGACGTGCGGCAGACGGCTTGGAGCCACAGGAGAGCCGGAGCCGGGCCGACACAGCAGAGACACAGCGGAGAACGGCCGGAACGAGAGCCACGAGGAGTAGGAACAAGAGTGAAGAAGAAAAGCGACCGGAACCAGCGTCAAGTAACGCTAAGGAACGAATGGGACAGGTGGAGGTGAGTAGTGGGCTCAAATAGGGCACCATGCCCCTCCCACAACTGCAGGCCAAGCTTTCCCATGTATTAAAGACTGGGGTACTTTCTAAGAAACAAAGCTCACCTATGATTTGATAATAATTACTAGTATGTAGGTAAGGGATGGGCAAGCTAATGACAAAGTAATTACATTCCCCATCTTATAACTTGATAGTTTCAGAATAGTCAAGACATCATTTGTAATTCGTAGAGAAATTAATTTCCTTGCTACCATCTTGTTTTTACAGACGTCTTGAGAAAAGAAAAGCCAAAGCTTAATATTTTCTCATTTCAATTCTGTGAAATTTAACAAAGCAAAATTGTAAATAAATATAAGATAAAAGACTGTAAAACAAGGACGCTGCCAACACATGAACAGTTTTACAAAGTAAAATGCCACAAGTTACTAGGAACATCTTTTGCTGAAAAGGAAGACAACATATATATATATATATATATATATATATATATATATATATATATACTTGACAAGTGTACTTCTATACCTCAGGGAAGTGCAGGGCAATTCATACTAATTTAAAGAGAGGATAGACTGAGACAAGTTGGATTAACTGAATAAACTGGAAATGGGTCCACTGAGTTTTCACACAATACATTTGCAAATAAAATACTATTAAAGCTCTGGCTGTAAACCATATGTTTGCATCATTACGTATATTACAAGGAGTAGATATGCCAAACTATACATCAAAGTTATACACTGTAATCCCTCGGGGGAGGTTATGTTAACTATACTTTAGCAACGTGACAATATACATGATATATCACAGCTGTCAGTTGAAGGTTCCTGTGTGCTTATTACTATCAAGGTGAGTTGCTTTAAGTCGTCATGGAGTGATATTTAAATTATTTAGCAGTGTATCCCACAAATGCTGTATTGATGGGGCTATAGATACATCCTCTTTGTAGTCCCAGATTTAAGGGGACAGTTTCCTGAGTTTGTTTTTGGTATCTTTAGCAAGTGTAGTGCAAGAGTTGGATTAGAAAAATTCATGCAGTGAAAAGTACAGCCAAAGTATTCAGTCTGTGGACAGAGCACTTAAACAGCACTCTGCATATCAGCAGCCAGGAGTGGGGCTGGTCAGCACAGGTCCACGACAGCCTGACAAGCATTTATATTAAGGCACTTTTTCAGAGCAAACTTGCCTTATTGGAACATAATAATCAGATTTCCAGATCATAATCAGATTTCCCCTGGGGGTTTTTTTTTTTTCTGTTCCACATTTGTGACTGTGATGAATTTTAAATAGAGGAATAAAGTTGTTTTGTATTTCTAAAACCAATTAAGACATTTGATCTTTGCCACACTGGGGCTGGCAACATTCTGATCACAACCTAGAAGTCATCAGAATGTGGAATCTCACCACGTAGATCATGTCTTCCCGGATTATATTTTGCTTTATGTGACAAATTCTACTGTACATTTTATAATAAAGATTGAAAACTAAAGCGTTGTTTCCATTAATTTTCGTAAATCTCACAAACTGTGTCTGAGTTACATCCAGAATTTCCCTGGATTCTTCTCAGATGCATTTTCATGGATCTTCCATACTTGGGTATAAAACTTCCAAAAAAGCTTTACTCCTTACATTTTCCCACTAATTATTTGCATGTTGTGTTTTCAGGCCTAGAAATGAGCATAGAATGAGCAAACAGGGGCATTGCTTAGAGAAGGGGTTGATAGAGCTGGAGCCCCGAGAGCAGTCCTGGCACCATTGTATTGTTAGCCCTGAGTCCCTTGTAATATTGTTAAAGAAATAACACTTACTGTTGAATGCAGTTGGCTGAAGGGTTATTTTAGCATGGCTTGGGATTACAGCTGGTGTGAAGTTTATAAATAAAGTATACCTCTCTGAATTGAATTAAATATATGGTCACAATGTGATTTACTGACAATATTAGTGTTTGACTTGTTGCATGGTATTGGGCTAAATTTAGGAAGTGCTTAAAGGGAAACTATAGTGCCAGGAAATACAAACTAATTTTCCTGGCACTATAGCTTCCCCTTCTGTCAAGGCCCCCTCCCGTGGCGCTGAAGGGGTTAATAACCCCTTCAGTCACTTACCTGGGTTCAGTGTCGATGTCCCTCGGCGCTGGCTCAGCTCGACCCACGCTCCTCCCCTGCCACGCAGCGGGGAGACCTTATGCACATGCGCGGCAATGGCTGCGCGCACATTAGACCTCCCCACAGGAAAGCATTATTCAATGCTTTCCTATGGGGATTCCGGCAACGCTCGGCATTCTCATGCAGAGCGTGGGGATGTCGAATGTCATTTAAAACACTTTTGGTGCTCTAAGAACATGGAAGCACCATCTAGCGGCTGTCTGAGAGACAGCAACTAGAGGTGGAATTAGCCCTTTCTCCAAAACCGCAGTGTTTTGACTAACAGGGTTAAGGGGAGAGGGGCAAGGCACCCAGACCACTCCAATGGGCAGAAGTGGTCTGGGTGCCTACAGTGTCCCTTTAAGTCAAGATATGTGGAGCCTAAAGACTCTATTTAGCAATTCCCATTGTTTTTTTGGTCACAAATATAGTCTAGCAGTGGTAACACAACATTCTGCAGAATATGTAAGAGACAAATTTTGTTCTACCAATTCTTACCCTGGTAGATCACTATCTGGCAGTGCTCACTTTATATCTCAATTACATACCACTTCCAGCCAAATTAACCTCTCAAATTTCATTGAACCTCGCTATTAGAGCTTGGTAACTAGCCTATCCATCCAGTTTAAATACTCCATACAAGTCTTTCATTATAACCCACATATCTGATAAGCCAATCCCGAACTCATGTTTCTATGATATTTCCATGTATTTTGCAGCATGGGAGGAGAGTAAATGGGACGTCACTGGTTCTGCCCAAAAGGAGTGGTTCTGCCTGGAAAGAGGGCCTGTTTCAGTGCTCCCTGCAGAGTTATATTGCACTAAATGTACCACTAGTATGTCTAATGATGCGTTTGCGCTATGATTGTTGGGGACAGTTCCCTTGTGTCCTCAAAAGCAGGACACCAGGAAATAAGGGGTGAAATCAGGATGGTTGGGAGACATGTAACCATTACTGCAGGCTATAATGATTATTGCGGTTAATGAAACACCGCATAAAATTATCTGACCTGATGTTACTATAACTGCCCGTCCAACAATTTTTTAAACTCATTCTCTACCCAGTTCATTAATGCACAACTTGTGCTACTAAGCTTTCTACTGGTAAATACCCACATCCCAAGAGATCATTTGGCTTCAGCACAGAACCAGTTAAAATGACTACTCAATTTGGATAAAAGCCCTGCTACGTATTGCACCTTTCCCCACAGAAACACAGTTCCACAGCTGTCCAGTTATGGTAGCCAAGTAGGTTGGCAATTCTCCCAGCAGGAATACCACTGTGCACTCTGGGAACTTTCCAACACTCCAGACATAGAGTGGAGAGTTATATGTATTTTATTTTCATTGAATTCTGACTTGTATCTAGTATCAAAATAAAAAAGTGTTTATTTACTGATAGTAAAAGGTAGCCAACTGATCATACATAAAATTAACAAAATTTTTATTTCTCTTCATTTTCTGTGCACGTTTGATGGGCATTAAACAGGTAAGGTGTTTTGCTAAAAGTACACAGTACATATAAATGCCATATCAAGTATTTTAACTCTCATAATATTATGAGAGTTCATTAAGTACATTAGATTTATGTTCTACAAACCGGATCTAGATTATATTGCATTTTGATTAATGAAGTTAAGGTGTGCCAGGTGAGTAATAGCTCAAACTCTGGCCAAATCAGATGTAATAGTTATTTTACATCATCTCTATGGGAATGTCTTAAGTCATACATGCTACAAACCCTATATGCATTACTGCCACATCCATTTATGCTTTTTTATAATAAGATATAATAAGAAATGAACCTTTTACAAGCCAGTTTAGTGAATCGTAAGTCCCTAACTGGCTGAGAGCGTCAGATGATCGCTCTTAGCCAATCAGCTGCACTACAATCTACAGTATTTCCAGGGTTAATGATAAATCCTTGTGCAGCTCTGGGTTGTGACATTCGATGTGACAGTAGGTGAAGCCCTGTCTTTACCACAGGACAAAAGGGGCAATTGGACCCCATATTTTGTAGAGGTCCCATAGCACCTTGGGCCTTCTATGCCTGTCAAATATACGGCCTATTAGTCATATGCAGCCCATGGACCAGATGAATGCAGAGTTCAAAGATTCCTGTAGACAATGGACATATGATGAGATACTAAAATAAATGGGCCGTTTTAGATTCCATAAACCCTCCCCTGACACATTTGATAAGCAGAATATACAAAAAAAAATTTAACAAATTACCATTTGTCAAGCACATGATGGACATGGCGACATCTACCAATCTGTATTAATCTGTCGAACCAGTGGGCTCTGCATTACTAGTACATGACCAAAGAAAATTGGTGAGACCTGAACTGTTAATTAGGTTTGTTTGGTCACAAGCTAGAACACTATCAATGATGTCCCCCTAATGTAAAAGGTATGCTCAAGGTAAGAGTCAATTGTCACGGACACTGCCATAGAACTGAAAATGCTCTTAAAACAGATTATCAAAATACACTTTAGCAGATTTATCCCTAGAACTATTTAATTTGTCTCCCATGTTGGAATTAGTATAGGACCCACCGTTATTAGGGTACTGTGAAGTAGTGGTGGGCTTAACACAATATGCGGGAACTGAATCTCCATATTTGTTTCCTGAGACAGGTGATTTTAAGTAGCCTTATACAATTGGAGACTGTATTTTTATGTGTGCACTGTTCCTTAATCTGTATTATGTGTATTGTGTATAAATTGTATAACATTCTGTAAATTGTATGTGTATTGTGTATAAAATGTATAAAACAGCAC